AATTCGAGCATATAGTAGACATTAGAGGACAGAGACCATCGAGGTACCCTTTAGTGCCTCAAGGATATACTACTGTACATAAGGAGACTTCCAGACCTGATGATAGAAGTAGGAAGAGGAGTCCTGAGCCTACTTTCAGACATAGTGGCCCAGGTGTGTGGTGTATATTATTTTTTCTTATTATTATTATTTTTGCACACTAATATGCAAATATTGCAATGTACAGAGATAGACCGTTCTCTCCTTCTACTGACAGCAGGGGTCACCCTAAGTGTCGAGCTTCACAAGATGTTCCAGGTTAAATCACCCATTATTAATATATATTTATTTCAGATTTCTTTTGCATTTAAATTTTCCTATTGCACTTTCCCTCCTATTGCAGTATACAGACATATCCCTGTCGACCTGCTAAGTTCTCCTATTTTGGAGCCGGATACTTTGCCTACTCCTGCAGGTTTCCCTTTTCCAGTTTTCTTACTAGACCAAGGTACCACTTCGAGCCCAGCACCAGGTATTGGCATGTGTAGTTCTTCTTTTTATATGTATGTACATATTCCAATTATTTCAATTCTTTAATATGTTTATTTATTAGATGTTAAGCCCGTGGATGTAGAGCATGAACTTATAGTGGGTATCTTGGGTGCGAAGAGTCTTCTAGCTATTGAATATACACTTGATGAAGCTGAAGGTAAACTTCATATACATATTTACTTGTTTATTTTATTAATTAGCATTTCTCCTTTTCATTTTTCCTTTTGGTATATGCATAGGTGGACCATCATCATCTTCTCAATCTGTACACAGTGATCCTACACAGATGTTATTTGAGGATACTATTAATGACACTGTTACAGAGTTAACTATTTCACCTTCTCCTTTCTCAAATTTGTCTTGGGTGATCGTAGATGATGTACCAGAAAGCTCCTCACCAAATGTTACTGCCCACTTAGGTGACCACTATTTGTCAGGATCATCAGATAAGATCCAGCTTTCAGGTATTTATTTTTACTCTTTTATAGTTTTATCTTTCTATTCTTATTCATCTTTCTTTTTTAATAACTCTAATAATATTTTACATTCAGGTTCAGAGCTAGCATGTTTTGTATGTAGGATACCTTCTCGTGCTCGCAGATATTTTGGTCAACAACTGTTGAGTAGAGCTCATCACATTGTCAATGCGCTGCGGCACCTACTACTAGGAGTGGATCTTGATGAATTGACGTTTCCAGATTTAACCAATTTCTGCATCAAGGCTTCTCTACTTTTAGACTGTGCTACAGCTTCTGGACTTCGAGATATTATTTTAGAAACATGGGAGTACCTTTACCGCGTTATTGCTTTCGGGCTATACTGATTACACTTTGTCTCCCAAGAGTTGGCACTTGGAGTTCCTAATGGTTTAGAGGATGGGGTGAGAGCTGGTTGGGACAGGATGAAGAGGACTAACGTCGATCGTGACTTTGGCCTTCAGACTTTGAGGCGTTGCTAGCGAGATTTTTCAACGAAGCAGCTTGAGCTTTTAGAGATATCAACAAAGCTCAGGGCTTTGAGGCAGCAAGGAAGGGCTCTTTTGGAGAGGCGACGAGAGCTTCGAGCAGCAGCAGCCTATACTGAGGAGGAATTTACTTGGATAGCTGCTGAGGTTGAGAGATTATAGCAAGATTTATCGTCATCCACCGAGGAGTTTGACTTGTTGCATCATCAGTTGGAGACCACTCAGACTATGCAGGTGATGTTACAGGATCGCTTGTTCATAATTAGACAGCATATAGGAAGCCTTCAATTCAAATGTTGATAGCTTCTCTAGCTTCATTCTGGTACGTATAAGTGTATTTTATATATATTTACACATGTATTTTATGCATTTTCTCTCCTTTTATTTTATTTATTGGGATGCCTTAAACTTTTAGTCTTTTATATTTAATTAAATGTGACTCAACCCTTAGGTTTTGTGAGTACATGGGGTTTTAAAGTTTCGAACTTTTTGAACTTCGAGATTTATGAACCGTATATCATAATTCCCTTATTTTATTTGACAAAGGGATATTTTTATAAAAATTGCCTCCTGTCTTTCAGGAGGGGAGGGAGTTTATCTCTCGCATTATAAGAGAATAAAAAAATTGCCTCGTCTTTCAGGAGCGGATTTGGAATTTGTCTCCTATATTGCAGGTAAATTTGCATACATCAAATCTTTATGTGTGATATTTATTCAGATATTGACCATTTATTGGTGGCATAGGTCTTTGACCTTTTAGATCTATGAGTTGGTAGGCTCCGCCTTCATACACTATTTTGATGGTGAAAGGTTCTTCCCAAATTGGGTCAAATTTACCACCAAGACGACGATGAGAGGTTATAGGTCTACAACAACAAACCAACACAAGTTCACCTTCCATAAAGCTTCTAGGCTATAACCATTCGATCATGGGCCCTAGTCATTATTGCTTTATCGGATTCTAGACTTTGCTGAGTTTGCCGCCGAACTTCATCAAGAGTTTAAGTTCTTCAAGTCGTAGAAGATCATTTTCTTCTTTGGTTAATTCGTAGAAGATCATTTTCTTTAGTTCACGAAGAGACGATAACTCGACCTCGAGAGGTAATATTGCCTCATTTTCGAAAACCAATGAGCAATGTTTAAAATTGCGTATTCGGGTATTGAGGCGTTTTTCATTCGTGAGGCGAGGCGTAAGCCTCAAGGCGTTTTCAGGCATAAGCCTCAAAATCAAAAGATTGCGTAAACATAAAATGATAATTTTTTTATATACTAATGAGTGAATAATATAAAACATAAAAAAGCATAAGATATGAAGTGAAGTCAAAATATCCCAATAATAAGACAACATGAAATATAGTTCAACTCAAAATTCTATATTTCCCACATCCCAGTATTCTTTTAATTAACATATAATTCAAATTTTGTGCAATCTCCCTTCCTTGAAATATCTGATGAATGGATCTTTCTATTAATTTTTATCAGATATAGTGAGGCTCACTTGCATTTCCTTCACTTTATCATCTTGTATTATAGCTGGAGTTAATGCATGTCTATTTTGAATAGTTATGAGAATTGGATCTTCCTGCGTATTTGTTAGTTCTTTGGCTAGCTTTGTCAGTACATTAGCTTTGCAATTTTCATTACACGTAATCCTAGTGAGAGTTCCTTCAAGAATTTGTTGTAGGAGTTTTAAAGCATACTCGTGATATGAGATTAATTTATGCTTATTTATTTTGAAAACACCTATTATTTGTTTGATTATAAGTTGAAAATCTCCATATATATATAGAGAGAGAGAGAGAGAGAGTTTTTTAATTTTCATATTAATTGCTAACTCAAGGCCCGCTATTAAGTCTTCATATTCAGCCTCATTATTAATGCGAGGCTCTGTTAAACTATAAGAATATCGGAGTATTCCTTTTCGCGGTGTAATGAATATAAGGACAATACCCACTTGAATTGTCGGAAATTTAGGTGGTTTGGCTGATTTTATTGATGAAGCTTCATCTAAATAGAGCTCCTATTCTTATATAATTTCTTCTTCTTCCACTTCGAGCATTTGCTCATCTGGCAAGTTATCATTAAGTGAAAAATCTGCAGGCAAAAGATGGTATGCTAGAAAATCAGTTATTCTTTTACTGAGTTTTGTAGTATATATATTATGTCAAATTGCATTAATAAGACAGCCCATTTAGCTAGACGACCAGTGAGAGTGGGTCTAGTTATTAGAAATGTTAATGGATCCACTTTAGATATTAAGTAATTTTATGGGATAGCATATAATGCCGAAGTTTTTTAACGACAAAGATTAATGCTTAGCATTGCTTTTCAATTGGAGAAAATTTAAATTCTGCCCCTATTAATCATCGACTGATATAATAAAGGGCATTTTTCTTTTCCGTCTTCATTTTTTTTGCTAACAATGCTCCAAGTGATTCTTCAAGAGCAGTTATATATAAAATTAATGACTTCCCTTGGATAGGGGCAGCAAGGATTGGAGGATGTAGTAAATAGTTTTTAATACTATCAAATGCTTCGTAACAAGCATCATCCCATATAAAAGGCATATTTTTTTTCATTAGACGTGCGAATTGTTGAAATCTATCTGAAAGATTAAATATAAACCTTCGAATATATGGCAACATAACCTGTGAATTGTTGGAATCTCTGTTAAATTTGTAATTTTTATTATTGAGTCCATCAGGAAATGTTATATTTATCTTTCGGGTAATATGTCATCTTTCTTACGTCATACTCGATCATAAAATATGCAATCCGTTTGAGAACAACAAAATTCTCCAACAACCATCTGTGAACCCCAACATTTAAGATAACAGGAATAATAATCAGAGCAAACCTACAAATTTGGTGGTCATACTTCCTCCTACTTAAGATCTGGATTGTACTCAAACTCTATAACCTACTATACAGCTCTTGCCATGAAATTTGAGCCTTCCCTTATTTTTCATGCATTAGTCCAAAGAATCACAGCTCTGAAAGGAACTTCCGCTTCAATATCAATAATTGTTTAAATTCACCAGTTATAATAGTGCATGTTCCTCATGATCTTCCTTTCATAAAGGATATTGGTGACCCGAGATATAATCAGCTATCTACTTCTACAAGATGTCTCCTAGGTATTGAAGAACAAATTGATAAAATGTTTAAAATGATGTTTGCTACGAGAGGCGGGATAAGAAAAAAATATATGTATTTCTTCAATAGCCAAGGTTTACTAGGTTTTAATATGCAATAATTCGTTTAACAACTTTGGTTTTCTTGACTTGTCAGGAGTGAACAGGACTACAACTCAACATTTTGAATGATACTTTCTCCCTTAATAGATTTTTCTATTGGTAATTATTTGTAATTACTTTAGGTTCTTATTTTATCTTTTTAAAAAATTGCAATTTCCAATCTTAATCTTAAGCATTCAACCAACAAGTTAAAGTAACATTAATTGAACCATAAAAAGATAAAAATGTAAAGGAAATATACTCTATACCCTTCATTTGCTAAAAATGAATTTAAATTTTCCAGGATGCAACCAGCTTCACATATGAGAATACCATTAACCTGAGAATGAAATGCATCAACAAGAAAAGTAAAAGTCAGCTTTTAGTAGTAAATGATACAATGCGGTATTAGCAGTGTTGTCAATGCAGGGTAACAAAAATTAGATTTTAAAAGTGTTGTCAATGAAGGATCAAGAAAAACAAGGTATAGAAAAATAGTAGACACCAAAAGAACCACTTACATGAAACATCACTATCATCAACAACGTTATTAGTGTTATCCACAATCTCATGAATAACACCCATCCTCCAATCATCTTGTTGAGTACTACATGAGGTAACAAATCTATTTTACCCTAACTCTTTTGTACACAACTTATATCAAAGTTAACTTAGGTCTGCACCTCATTTATAATCTTTCTACATCAATTTGATTATACTATCTTCGACGTTACATTGTATAAGCCTAAGTAACATAAGTTTATTTTGAACTACCTTATATCTAATAGATACTACTCACCTCTGTCTCTAAATCATAACTTCGCATCATCTTTCCAAGGTTTATAACATCCTTCCTAATATTCTCATTTTTTACGCACTCAATTTAATTATCAAAGATTTTCTTTATTCCCTCAACATGAATCCAAATAGCTAAGCCAGTTTAATTGAAGTTTATAAAGCTTATCATTAAATCTCCATGATATTATCATATAATAATATAATATAGTGCTCCCAATACACTAACACTTTGACCACCCAGCTATAAGTCTAGAAGTTATACCCTGTCAATGTTGCCTTTCATTTATTTAATGGGTCCGACTTATTTAAACATATCACACCTATTATGATCCCCCATTACTAATTACTCATAACTATCAAATCCACTAAAATCATACATAGTGCACTAACTTTTTGTTCTATTCCAATACTCCTTGATGGGGACATCAGAGCTTGGAGAGTTTATCACCGTAAATATTAGAGATCTACGGCCTTGATTGAGTCTTTATATTTTTAGTTTTCATATTTTGTAGGAGATTTATGCGATGTTATTTATTTTATTATAGTTTTACCCTCTCTTGAGGGAGCTTTTGTGTTGTTTGGCCAAGGGCCTTCTTGCCTTTTTTTCCTTTCATATTTTGGAGCCTATATATATGGCTCATTGTTCTCTTGTAAGGATGAAGAATATTTGATATAAAATTTCTGGTTATAGGTTTCCTCTTCTCTTGGTGAGTTGAGTTTGTGTGTGAGGTCTTTTGGAGAAAGGCAAAGAAATACCCAACAGCTTGTGAGCTCTTGGTTGATATCATCGCCCTCTCTATCTCTTCTTCTCCTTCCCTAGCCATCCAATCATCCCCACCGCTGCACCTACCTACTGCCCTCAACCCACCACCACCTCTCTTCCTTCCATTCTACCCACCTCCACCTTCTCCCCAACACCCTAGACCCTTGGGTTTCCCAATCTTATAATTAATTCACATTAATTGAGCATTTGTCTCAATTAATTGTGACCTTTGGGAACCCACAACAGCTTTAACTTTTCTCTATTCCCAAAGCAACTACTTTAACTTTTCTTTTTCCCAAGCCAACTAGTTTCCTTCCCAAGCAAGCTACATTTAATTCACTCTCTTCCCAAAGAGACCACTTTAACTTTTCCTTTTCCTTTTCCCAAGCCAAATACTTCCTTTCCCAAGCAAGCTACATTAAATTCTCTCTTCCCAAAGCAACCACTTTAACTTTTTCCTTTTCTCAAATCAAATACTTCCCTTCCCAAGAAAACCACAACAGTCCTCTCTCTTTCCCAAGAAACCAACTCTACCTTTTCACGTCCCAAGCTAATTTCTCCACTTTCAAATCCTCCTATAGCTGAAACCTTCTTTTCCTCCTCACTATTTAACCTTTTCAAGGAAACCTAGCATCTACTTTTGCAACGAGGACATCGATTTATCAAAGAGTAAGGGTTTCAAGGGGAATCCAAGGAGGAACTAGCCGTCATTTCATCAAGGACTCCATTCCTCCTATTCATAAGCTAAGTATCAAACCATTCCCTTGTTCTTCTTCTAACTAAATATTAATCTTCTCAATTCATCTACAGTAGCATCATCTCATATGTATTGATTAGTCAACCAAGCCCTACTTGAATTTGAGTGATTAGAAACTCTTGTGACTAGTCCTTTAATTAAATATTGGACTTATGTCAACCCATGCTAGCTAGTCTAAATTAATTCACCTATCTTTATTGTTTAGTCTTTACTTGTTAGTTTCTTGCTATCACATAATCTAATAGTACAAATTTTCTTATTGTTCTTAATGTTTTATGAAGTCTACTTTGCTTTCATTGATGTTATCTTAGCATAAATCTCTAATTGCATGACTCATTTCACTTAGTCTTGCATCACTCTTATTTGCTAATGATGTATTCAACTTGAAACAAAAACACAAACCAAAAACAAAGAAAATCAAGACTCACTTTTTAGAAATTTAAGACACCACTTGGAGAACAAAATAGGCTAAATAAACAACTAAAATTCAGAATATATAAGAAGCGATCATCCAACAAACCAAAGCAAAAGAAAGTTAGCAAAAGAAACAAATTAAAAACAAACAAACGCTATCCTCTGAACATCCTACAAGAGGACTCCTCACATGCACCGATTGTAAGAATATATATTTCAGATAATGTTTAGATATGCAAACCAAGGGTCCACCACTGCAAAGGGGTCCAACGTCCTACCAAACTCCACCAACAAATCCACCAAAACAGCCAACAAACTTTACCAACGGAACTAGAAGAAAGATACAGGTGGAGTGGAACTTGCGTAGAGAAGAAAGAGGTTAGAAGCCCAGACGAAGGGTGGGAAAGAACTCGCAAGTATTCCCTATAGGAGAAAGAAGATGGAACAAAGCTCGCAAGCTTTTCCAAGAAGAACCCGCAAGCTATAGCAATTTTGCTCTCAATATTCACCAACCCTTTTCATCTCAAAATATCTCATATATATAGGCAAGAGAGGGGAAACTAAACAGACCCAAAATATTAGCATTTACACAAAAAACTGTAGTAAAAACAGCAGCCATTAAATAGGGATTTTAATAGCCAGCAGGAAACCAACGAGTTACTAGGCAGTAGAGAGCCAACGGGACTTCAGCAGCTAACAGAGAAACCAACAGCCACCACACAAGAACCCAAGGGCCAACGCATGGGAAGCTTTTCAACACAGGAAACCAAGCATCAAAACCATGGGAAAAGCTCCTAACAGTCACGGGAAAACAGCCCAACAAGGGACCCGAAGAGCCACACTAATTTCGGTAAAAAGGGGGACCACAAGCCATAATTCAGGAGTAAACCAAAGGGTCAAAAACAGCAGGAAACCGCAGCATCCCAAAAGACAAAAGGGAGAGGAAAGGGCAAGTTCCACCCACCAAGAATGCTCACCTCAAATTCAATTTCAGAACTAAACATTAGCTCATAATGAGCTACACCTCCACTTGATATTAATAAGCTGGCACCACTAGAATTCCAACAACCAAAGACCAAATCGAAAACAGCCAAGGCACACCCGAAACCAGCCAACTTCCCCAAAGGACAAGATGGACCCCAAAACCAGCAAACCCAAGGTAAGCATAACCCAAACCTTTTCCTACCATGATCATTGGATTTACCACCAACATTGGATAGCTTAAAAATAAAACAAAAAATAAAAAATATAACTAATATTGTTCAAAACAAAAATAATGCAAAAATCTAAATGCATTAGCTAAAGGTTTCCTCCATCATTTTAGCATGCATTTATTTAAAAATATTTTTGATCAGCCCTCAAATTATAATACACATTCGGTACCAGATTTTGAGTATAATTTATTAGCGTCTAAAACATACAAAATGAAGAAGGTTGATAGCATAAAGAAGAAATAGTAAGTTTGAAAGAAATGATTTTTCTAATGATGAGTAGGAGGATGAATGCAATGAAAATGTCAAACATACCATGTACATGAAAAGTAGGAAGCTCAATGAAGTAAAGCATACTCATTATCAATTGTACTTTCAATTTATTATTTTGCAACAATCAATTTCCATATTTATGAATACAAATGAGATAAATTTAACAAAATAACAATTATAAGCACAACTAACTCAAGTAGAAATATATCTTTGTTAATAAAATCAAGATTTTTAAAACTAGATCGGGCCAGCCGGTTTAACTAGTTGAACCATGAATTGGTCAATTGACCAAGTTGATTCCGTCACATAATCGGTCTCGCAGAAAACTAGCCTAAATAGTCGAACCAGCGGTCGAAACGTGGAACCACAAAATCTGTGCCTATTTAAAAAATCGTGTGGTTCACAATCGAGCAGCTTCCGACGGTGACGAGCATGGAAACAGATATCCATCCCAGTGTGGCAATAGAAATTCATCTCGAACTGTATTCATGATGGCTTGGGTTCTAGGATGCAAATTTCAATCTGACTTCTGTCACAGTTGAACGTAATTTGGAGGAATTCGGGTGGAGAAATGGTGGATTTGAATGCTAATTATGAAGCCAACAAAGACATGTCTCTCCTTGATCGGGTTCTTGTCCTTGTTCTTGGGCAGATCACGGGTTAGGAAATCGGTCTTAGTCTTCTTCAGAGGCATGGAGTTGGATTACTTCTCTCGGCTATTTTGATTGTGATCCCTGGGGTGGAGGAAGGGATGTAATGACGAGGTGCAGTGGCGATGGAGGGAATGTCAGTGGTGTTGTGGCTGTCGCAGCAGCTAGCGATGATGGGAGTGGTGAAGGCGTTAAATGATGTAGGACAGGTGGGTTTGTTGGAGAATTTTTGTTGTCCTCAAACGGATTGCATATTTTATGATCGAATACGACATAAGAACGATGGTATATTACCCCAAAGGATAAAAATATTATTTCCTTATATACTCAATAGTAAAATTTATAATTTAACAGAGATTCCTTGAAAACACAAAAATGTCAAGAATGAAAAGTAGTTGTTCTTGAGGAATCTAAAAATTTTCACTCGCAATATTGATATTGAAGTGTTTTCAAGTTAATTTTTAAAAGACATTG